TACCAACCGGGATTTATCGCAAAAACACGGCATCATGCAGCTCGACTGAGTGCATCAGGAAATCTGATGCATCCCACACGCACATTCCCAGGCATTTATGGATCACACACCTTTTAACGTCACATCCTATTTAAACATGTGTATCCCTAGGCGTAAAAAGCATGAAAGAGATACGAGACATAATATCCGATTACACGATAACTTATGGTGCGAAACCTAAAAATAATAATTTTTCAGTGTTAATTTTCTAGCAACACAACTTTTGTCCGCGATTTTTAACTTGGAACTATTTTATAGATTTAAAGACATGCTTGCAAATAGTATATTTAGATATAGTTGTGGCCGGCTGGCTATGATCATTATCATGCTTACCTTAGCAAGTATGATGCTAGATCCTCACTTTCCACAACTTATCGAAGCTTTTTAGAAACGTTCGGTGGCATGTCTGACTCAGACGCAACAAAACAAACACATCTATCGTGGCTGCGTTGCTATTCGAAGGCATGCAGCATTTATAGTGTTCGTACTTAAACATGATCTACGATTCCAACTCCTTGAATGAAATGGTCCTTAAAGGTGGTCTCGTCACACGCAGCACAAATGTAAACAGTAATGGCGCAGCCAGCATCCAACACCCTGGGTCGATCCACACGGCTAATTGCCGGGCCTGGTATTCTCCTTGAATGTGTGTGAACTAAAGGAATGCACTAAAGAATAATGATCCACAACGTGTCTCTTTTCACATAACACTTTTTACTAATTGGCAACCCATTGTGTAGCTCGTGAATGGCAATGAAATTGCATAAAACAATTATTTTCTTGGTAGATTGTATAGTATATACTTAAGACGTTATAAAGACGTGTTTTTCATTGCAATTTTTACCGCATTAATGTATGGTGAAAACAGCTAATATCATCTCTTCTTCAAAACTTTGCGATGGTGAAAATAACATGTGTCTTTTACCCCTGTAGGGCAAATTAGTTTGAGGTTTTAAACAGTCTTCCTCTTGAATGCTGCATAAGAAGACTGACTGCTTTTCATCACCTGATCGTGTCATGCGTAAAGGCCAGACATCTCTAATCTCTTCTAGGATCTATCGTGTTCTTTTGGACCTTTGCATACTTGGCCTTCATACCGATGTTTTTCCTTCTGCTGTTCACTCCCGTGTTCTTGGCATGGGCGTATCTCAGAGAACATGCAGACGTGCCATTCGGCATAACTTCCTTGCCAGATCGACCAATCGTATTCCAGCCAGACACGCACCGCTAACTCACCACTGAATGTTAGCTGCGTCCGACCGAACACGTGTGAATGCTGCTGCGACATGCCTTCGAATACTGAAACAGCACACGTCCATGACCAGCACGCGAGGCCCCACGCGTGCACGCGCCATGGACGTCAGTCGTCTGGTCAGTGCGCAACCAAGGTTTGATGAGACAAGTCTCGTGACAAATGCTAAACCAACGCAGATTAGCACTTCGGTGCAATTTTGTGCCTGTCACGAAATGTGGCAATGCGCACGCGCTTAGGTCTAGTGTCAAAACTCCCTTTTTGAAGCGGTCTTTTGCTGTACGCAAAACAATGCAAATCCTAGCTTTACCTTAGCTTAGTGTTACTTTAGAGTTGCATTAGTTTTCTTGTGAGGAAGCCAAAGCCTTGGTGATTTTTTCAGTGATCTGGTAACCATGTGATCCCCTTAGTCGAGACTTTGTCGAACATGGCGCTCACCATCCAATGATTACATCAGCATGTTAGCTACCACCACTTCTAATAAGGGCAGAGTAAATGGATGGTTAACCAGGAATGCTAGTTTTCCTGTTATGCTGGTAACCAAAGCCTCATTGAACGCCATTCGGCTGAAATTTAAATAGCTGTTGTTAACATATTGCCACCTAATGTAACGAAAGTCAGGAATGGTTTGCCCCTACAAAGCAAAAATTACACAATAATACAAGCACGGATGTTCGTTTATATAATTTCGGTGGCTTGAGACCACGCCCCCTCTCCAATGATGACTTGAGCCCCCCCCTCCCCCCCCCAATGCTCCTCTGAGCTCCCTCAATGCGTATGAGTATAGAGGGAGTACTGTGTTCAGCAAATACAGGACAATGATCTTTATTGTTGGTATACTAGGCAGTGGGTATCTTAGCACATCACTATTGGTATCATGCTAATTTTGTGCCAAATATTACCCTGAAGATAGCTAATGTTTTTGTCCTGATAACTCCGTCAGATATCAAGCCCGCCTGCAATTCTTTTGCAAGTTTTTTTCAAATGATAACGCATGGATTGAGATAAAGTAAAATTGACTGCAACATGCGGCAGCTTTCAAAAGCGCAGGGTGCCCCAGATAAAACTTAACGCATGTTTTCCACAACAGCGGCATTCGTATTTGTCGCATTTTCGTGGCTGTGGTGGTTATGCAACAGGCACAGTGACAGCGGTTGTCATTAGTGATCTCTTACCATGATATATGAATATGTTTTCGTAGCTCGTTCAGTGCATTAGCGACGAACTTATTCAAGTAGATACGACAGTAGTGTAAGCCTTATTCATCGGAGAAAAACCAGGAGAATAGAGATTTTCACTTCTGCTATTGTTTTGATAAAGGCATGCTGCCAAAATATCAACCCAACTATATCTCTGTTCTCCTAGTTCTCTCCGAGGAATAAGGCTAATGCTACTGTCTTGTTTATGTGAATATGTTTTCTGTTAATTTCACCCCACTCTAAGCTTTTCACAAAAAGAAGTTCACATTGATTTGAAATAGCAAATCATTCCTCCGCAGGAAGACAGGTGTAAGTCTACATAATATTGGAAAAAGGTAAAAGCTGAGGACACAAATTATAGTGCCAGAGAAATCCGGAAAGAAACAAAGGTTTGGGGATAAGTTCTGTCGATGTGTACGGCTGAGCCCCCGGTCGATTTGAGAAGATGACACTCTGAACTCAAGCGATAGTGTGCAATGAACGACATGAATTATCTTGCTTGCAAACAGACAACGTTGCTGAATAGCGATGTTTGGAAACTGTTTGTAATCGTTGATGGGCATATAAGCCGCCAATGGCTGATTTGCGGAGTGAAGCCACCTTTGGTCGCCTCCGCACGCCCGGGTGAACCGATTCGAGCGGCTGGACTCGCCAGTGACGTCACAGCCTAATACCTGACGCTGACTTCTGTGAGGATCACGGGTCGGGACGTTTCAGCTGTCTGAAGCCCGTGCTAGCGTGCTCGCAGGCCCGGTCGTGCGGCCATTCGTTGTAGTCTCGAGCAGAGTGTGAAAGCCCGCCGTTATAGCGTTACGCCAGATACTGCGCCGCGTCGTTCCGACGCAGGGCGGCACAGCTCACCATACGATGAGAACATGCGCGTCATCTAGCGGCTGACGTACAAACTAGCATGTTTTCGACGTTTCCTAAACCGTAGGGATTTGAGGACGGTTTCCACTGTCGCTCTGTGGCAACGGTAACCCCTTTTGGTACTTGGTGGAAAGCTGTAATTGAGGCCCCAGTCAATGTTGAATGCGCATGTAATGTGCATGCAGTGAACTGACACCATCCATGAGGCTCGAGCTTATCGCATGAACTTCATAAAAACAACGATTTCATCCACTGCCTACTGCATGGCTCCCACTCAAACCTAAAATCCCACAGGAGAGGCTTCCGTCACTAATCCTGGCGTCGCCTCTGTGTAGAATAACACAGCACCAAACCTGTGATTCAGCCATGCCAGCGTGCGTGCTCCTTTCCCCGATCCAGGGCCTTTCAGGACTTTATAGTGTGGGAGAGTCTCAACAACATGATCGATTCCAAGTATCGACTCAATTAGCCCACCACAAACTCAGATTTCACCGCAGTTTTAGGCTGCTTTAATCTTGCGTTTGGAAAAAGCAACAAAAAGATGCAACCAGTTAGCCTTTTGTATAATGGGGCTTGAACGAGGATAAAATAAGTGTCAGTGGAATGCTATTTCTGATCAGTGAGAGATTTAGTCAAATGTGGAATAGTGCTTCAAATAACATGGCAAAAAAATCCCAAGGTTCATTTGCTCCTTCCAAAAAATGCAGTCTTCGTGGTGACGGCCCATCCCGACATATTGTTCAGAGTAATTATATCGGATAAGCACCTTCAGCACGTATCTTACAGATACATCCTTCGGTAAAGTTCCGTCGCTGGCTCTGGCTCTAGCTGACTCACGTGGTGGCCGTGGAAGGCTTAATTTTTCGTATGATATTCATATGATGCTTAGCAGTTCCAGTAGTTTACCCAGCATGCGGTCCTGACTCTCACCATGGCGTATCCTCCCTCACCCATCCCTCACGCGCCGCCTCAGCTTTCGTCGTGTCCATGAGAACAGCAAGCAACATTAGTCAAGGAAGTGATTCATTTCATTAGACTTAAGCTTGCTCATGTTTTTTCTTTTAGATTTTGCGTTGTCGAATGGCGAAGTAAACTACTTCAAATTCAAGCTACAAAGCTCATGTTTGGGTATCCTTGGTTCATTCACTGAGAGAAGAGCCCTGGTTTTGATTTTGCGGTAGTACAATACTGCGGGTAAGTCGTAGTACTTTACCGTATATACATGCATCAATGCTGGCTTAATGTTGAACTTTTGACAGGGTACTTCAGCTACTTGACTAACAATGAATGAGTTTTTATGTAGGGTCGTACAGCTCAGCACGAATGATCTAGGACCGGTATCCCTCACCGTGCCAAGCAACTGCATTGAAATAGCAGTGCATAATTGAAAGTAAACATAACTGGTGAGACATAGATTAATTAAGTACAAAACGCTAACGCTGAACATGCTAAATAATATGCCTTTTTTGACTTTCGATGATGATGATGATGATGATGATGCAATGCTGCACATGTCATCCACAAATATCAGTCACTGCTTCATCACCCGCAGCTCTCAACTGCTGTTTTTTCACAGATTGATTGTAGTTTTCATGCGAAGCACTCTTCAAACCACAGAATACAACCAACTTTATCCATATTATTCTTCCAGACACGGAAACAATAGCATTTTGTTAAAGTACACCCCGCAACTGTTGTGATAACATGGCACACGGCTAAATTATGAGAATGTCGGACAGTGATATCCTTTGACACCTTTTTGAAACCGATGACTCGGTAATTTAAAGAGACATTGTAGAAGCTGGTTTCCTGGTTATTTAGCATTACTGGAAATGAAACTCAAGGTTTCGGGACGCCGTATACATGTTTTCAATCGTCTAGCACACACAGCAACATCAACGGCCGCACAAGTGTTTCAAGTAACACTGCACACACAGCCACATCAACTGTCTCACACTTACGCACATTTATTGCTACAAAAAGGCAATACCTGCCACAACGCTCCATGATATGAACAGCACAGTGCATTCAATACACCTGGGACAAAATAACTCGCCGCTGTTGAGTTCGCATCTAAGACCCGCATGGCTCCGCTCCGAGGCCGCGGCTGTCGTCGGTGCGCAGGTCACCGACCTGGCCAATTGGCTGCAAACGCGAGGAAAACATTAGCACAGCCGCACACCGTCCTCTTCGTAGCTTTTAAACATTCTACTCTACAGCTTACGAATGAGCCACACTTTGCCTGCTTAGGTGTATGCAGGCACGGCATGATTAGTATGGGACAGCATGTACGCAATATATTATTTTATTGGAGTTGTGTTGTTTTGTTACTTTGCAAAACAAGCGTTATTAAAATTTTGCATGAGTCGCTTTTAGATCATGCTTCATGCACTGGCTGCTCACAATCTTGAGAACGACCTTATTCATTAATCTGCACTGAGCGCATCTCATAACTACAGTTGCTCATGCTCTTCGACGGCGCTATCAAGAAAGTAGCGATTTCCCGCCCGGTCATCCGTACCTTTGTAGAACATCTGATGTTGCATGGACGGACACAGTTTCTGAAAAGGAAAGTGTATTTTACAATGTGCTGTGTCAACACCCTAGCAACTAAAACTGTAACTTGGACGGCCAGAAGCGACTGACTTGCCATCCTTTATCTTTATATGATTTTCTAGGATCCGTCCGCCCATCCGCCTGTCCGTCCGTCCGTCCGTCTCATTTTATGTCGCGTTGTGCCTGAGCCGAACGGCGGGTTGCTGAATGGTGCTATTAACTTGAATACGATACCAGTGTGCACGTGACAGCGTGCTATGTCAAGCTCCGTGAGGGTGCGGCCGGCAGGCTGCACGCGTCACATGCTGCAAGGTATAGTGTCTGTTGGTTTTGCACGGGTGGCGGGAATACGTGAACAGCGCGAAACAGCCGAGCAGCTGTTTGAAACCGCGCTGATATTGGTGGAGAATGGAACGAGAAATCGTGTGGTGCTAGATTTGTGGTGGGACCTTTCACGTGTCTCGTGCAGGGAAGCGGTCAATATGTATTTGTCACGCCGATCACTTTCCTCTATTCGCCACCATATCATTTCACGCAGCTTGCCCTGTCCCGCTCATAGATCACCTTTGGCTATAGGCTTATAATTCCACATTTACGCATCGTGAAGAGCTTTTTATGCCAAGGAGTCGGCTGCGTTGCCTAGCGAAGCCAACCCTCAAGCACTTGTGATATCAATTTGAATGGCCGTGTGGTATCCGCGAGGGCATCTAGTACTTGATATGCATTGCTGACCTGTCCAGCATTGGAGAAGTTGACGTTGGTGCGCACAGTCCTGTGGTGTACCGGCTGCAGCGGTCGCATGTTGTTTCCCAGCAGTCCTTTTGTCTCATCTTTAGAGCCCTGAACTAGACCTTGCATGATGCGAAGCTGCAAACATTTAGATCGTTAAACTGTGCCCGCACATGCTTTTCACAGGCACTACACTACGCATTAACATGTTCATGCATTCCTTTAACGCATTTCTTGCGTCCTCGACGCATTTCGTTAAAACTTGCATCACTTGTGGATGCAAATTGGTGCAACACAAAATACTAACAAAAACAGTACATTTAATACCCTAGGCCTAGGGCTGCACCTTACAGTTGATACAACTTGATTGGTATATATGCGTCTATTACATACATATATATATATATATATATATATATATATATATTGTGTGTGTGTGTGTGTGTGTGTGTGTGTGTGTGTGTGTGTGTGTGTGTGTGTGTGTGTGTGTGTGTGTGTGTGTGTGTGTGTGTGTGTGTGTGTGTGTGTGTGTGTGTGTGTGTGTGTGTGTGTGTGTGTGTGTGTTTTCCAATTCGAATAATTTTTGAACCGCGGCGCAATGTGTTCACTCGCGTCAAAACACCACAACGATTCTGGAATAAGTTTTTGGGTATCGCAACAACACAAACAAGCTCGTCACGAGCCTTAAGTCCATCTGTCGCCCGCGAGAACGACATGTGGCAGAGGCTGATCATTGAGGACGAGGCCGCGTACCTCATGTGGCGTCACGTAGATGGGCTTGTTGCTGAGAATCCAGGTGGCGGTCTCCCAGCAGCCGGGGAGCGTGGTTGAGCCCTCGTATGTGATGTAGTGCTCCGTCTGGGGCAGCAGGCCTCGCACCGACAAGCCCTCGATGGGGCACGTGGAGCCTGCCGCCGGACGGCGCAGGCGGTCACATGCATCACTTTTGTCTCAGGCGGAAGGCAAGGTTACGTCCAGATTCGGCCACGGAGGGACAAAGGGGCAGGTCCGGACTCAGGTGCAGACAGCACAAGGGCAGGTCCGGACTCAACTGCAGGCAGCACAATGGTAGGTCTGGACTCAGCTGCAGACAGCACAAGGGCAGGTCCGGACTCAGGCGCAGACAGCACAAGAGCAGGTCCGGACTCAACTGCAGACAGCACAAGGGCAGGTCCGGACTCAGGTGCAGACAGCACAAGAGTAGGTCCGGACTCAGGTGCAGACAGCACAAGGGCAGGCCCGGACTCAGGTGCAGACAGCACAAGGTCGATGCAAGCAAACCTACGGCCAGGGTAGGCGATCAGCTATGGATTCAGCTATGCTACGCCAGCAGGTCAATCGGTTAGCTATGGATTCAGCCATACTATGCCAGCAGGTCAGTCACTTAGCTATGGATTCAGCTATACTTTACCGACAGGTCGGTTGGTTAGCTATGGATTCAGCTATACTGCGCCAGCAGGTCAGTCAGTTAGCTATGGATTTAGCTATACTATACCGACAGGCCAGTCGGTTCGCTATAGATTAGGCCATACTATACCGGCAACGCCAGTCGGTCAGCTATGGATTCAGCTATACTTTACCGTCAGGTCGGTTGGTTAGGTATGGATTCAGCTTTATCATGCCGACAGGGCATGTGGTCAGATGAGAGGTCGGCTCCGGAAGTGAACTTTTCCGTGCATAGGCTCAGCCATAGTCACACACGTACACACACACGTGCGCGCGCGCGAGAGAGAGAGAGAGAGAGAGAGAGAGAGAGAGAGAGAGAGAGAGAGAGAGAGAGAGAGAGAGAGAGAGAGAGAGAGAGAGAGAGAGAGAGAGAGAGAGAGAGAGAGAGAGAGAGAGAGAGAGAGAGAGAGAGAGAGAGAGAGAGAGAGAGAGAGAGAGAGAGAGAGAGAGAGAGAGAGAGAGAGAGAGAGAGAGAGAGAGACCGTCAGACACAGTTTCGACTGTGTAACTGGCTGTTAGGACAGTCGGATACGGACTCAGCTATACATCGGACGTGTGACCAGGTTAAAGTCGTTAGATAATCGCACCGCTACGACCAAGATCAGAACAGCGAACGGACCCCCACGGGTTTGAAAATATCACGTTTTTGGTCCAGAGAGCATAAAGATACCTTTGTACTGAACCTGGTGCAGACATCCTGTGATCTTCTCCAGTTCCTTATGGGTAGTCTTGCCTATCTGGAATAGGGATGCTTGCTTAAGTCGGTCAGTTCGGCCTGAATTAAGAAATATCGCGCAATGGTGTAACTTCGTCAAACCCCTGACAAGTGGGCAGCCCGAAATCACGCCGGACGGTGCTTCCATGAGGTCCCAAGTGATGTGCCCTATTGCTGGTCCTGGGCGGCGATGGTGGAATCCAACAGGACGTGTGACATGACAGTTAAAACCATAGCGCCGGTGTTGCCCGCAAAGACATTGCGAAGCTCAGTCAACTGGCATACTGGTGGTGCTGAACCCTTGTCATGATTCAACACGGTGACGCGTGGGAATTCCACACATATGTGCGCGACAGCAACACGCCACCCTTCAACTGTGTGATGGTCGTAAGGCAGAAGCAAATTTATACAATTCATTTTGCTGAAAGATTTATGCGGCCATGGGCCGGTGAAGCCATGGTCGATAACAAAAGAATCCTCAAACCTCTTACCGGATGTCATGCTACCGGTTTCTAGATTATTCTGATTGTTCACAGCAGTTATGGCCGTGGCACCATTTACTTAACGCTGTGTTGCACGCTCCGATATCAATTTGTAAAAGAATAGTTCTCCGAAATATGCATTGGTGTTGTCCTGATTGTCCGCGCCGTATCTGACACAGTGTTCCGTCTTTTTGGTCCGTCGAAATGACAGCTAACTCGACTGGGCTTTCACCGGTTCTCCGTCGTTTTGAATCCCGGTAAATGCCAGTGGATTTAGAACTCCAGCAGAAGGGTCGATCTATCACTTTGTTTCAGTTTAATTGGCCAACAGTGATCGATGCTGATGTGCCAGACTTTTAAGACTCTGGTGACTTTAGACATTCCAGTCACCACTGTTTCGCGCCCAATGCAATGCATGACGCCGGCGCAGTTGACAATGGGTTGGAAATACGATTGTGAACTGTGATTTGCGATTTTTAAGGGCATATTAAATAAGCTCCAACACCAAGGAAAGTAAACCGCGGAGATTGTGTAAATGATGAACAGATAGTAATGCTGTCTTGCTCTTGTGTGTAAGAACGTGAATTGCAAAAGGCGACCAACCAACTTTTCGAGTTCTCTCGAACTGCCATGGGACGTTTTTGGCCGACAATGAAATCCATCACAATAAAATAAAATAGAATTTATCGCTCGTTCCGAATTAACGCATCTGCACCACAGCTAACGATGCATTTACAGGCCCGGCGTGGCGATTCAGAGACTCAGTTCATTTGGAACTATGGCGATGGGACCGGAGCCGGGCTGGACTCCACCGTCAGGCTCGGTTCGTGACGAGCTCAGTTCGTTTGGAACTTTGGCGATGGGACCGGAGCCGGGCTGGACTCCACCGCCAGGCTCGGTTCGTGACGAGCTCAGTTCGTTTGGAACTATGGCGACGGGACCGGAGCCGGGCTGGACTCCACCGCCAGGCTCGGTTCGTGACGAGCTCAGTTCGTTTGGAACTATGGCGACGGAACTGGAGCCGGGCTGGACTCCACCGCCAGGCTCGGTTCGTGACGAGCTCAGTTCGTTTGGAACTATGGCGACGGAACTGGAGCCGAGCTGGACTCCACCGTCAGGCTCGGTTCGTGACGAGCTCAGTTCGTTTGGAACTATGGCGACGGGACCGGAGCCGGGCTAGACTCCACCGCCAGGCTCGGTTCGTGACGAGCTCAGTTCGTTTGGAATTATGGCGACGGGACCGGAGCCAGGCTGGACTCCACCGCCAGGCTCGGTTCGTGACGAGCTCAGTTCGTTTGGAACTATGGCGACGGAACTGGAGCCGGGCTGGACTCCACCGCCAGGCTCGGTTCGTGACGAGCTCAGTTCGTTTGGAACTTTGGCGACGGGACCGGAGCCGGGCTGGACTCCACCGCCAGGCTCGGTTCGTGACGAGCTCAGTTCGTTTGGAACTTTGGCGATGGGACCGGAGCCGGGCTGGACTCCACCGCCAGGCTCGGTTCGTGACGACACTTGCATCTGCTGAGCAGAGCCTCACAAACCGAGCGCACGATGCAGAGCACCTACGGAGCAGACCTCCAGAGTGCGGTGATCTGGTTGACTAGTGCGGTGCCCTTCCGCTGTGTGTGGGTGGTCCAGCTGACGCACCCCTGTGCCAATGGCGGTTCCCCGGCCGCCTGACCCCGTGTGTCGTCTCCTTCTACCTAATCGCGGCTCCCCGGCCGCCTGACCCCGTGTATCGTCCCCTTCCGCGTCCCCTTTCGCCAACCCGTCCAAGTTACCTGCACCATGATGGAGATCGCTACAATGCCCTGCGGTCGGTGCAGGGCTTCCGCCATAGTCTTGTAGAGCTCGGAGTTGAAGCCGTACAGCTGCAGCTGGAACAGGCATATCGGCGGCTGGTCAGCGCTGTATTGCTGCGCGGGTCGAACAGACGGCGTACGGTCGCAGCCAACACTCATCACTGCAGTGGGGCGCGATCGATTCCCAACATACCTCTCCCCCTCCCCTTTTTATGGCAGTATCAGCCCACAACTCTCCCCTTTTTCTCCCATTTTCTTTTCAACTTAGATTACCTTTTTCACCACCAATGTTCCCATGTTCGCCTTATCGCCATGCGGACGCGCCCGCTTTCCTCCAGCCGAGTCCCACCCGTTCGGCTCGTCCCGGGCCTCCGTCTCCGCCTCTCACCTCGGCCGGGAAGGTGTAGCCGTGGATCTTGTGCTCCGAGCCGGTGCGGTTGTTGGTGCCGAAGTGGATGTGGATCTCGGCCAGCCGGTACGTGTAGAGCAGCGGGCCGCCGGTGATGTTAAGCGGCGGCCAGCCGTCGCCCTCCTCGGTGCGGTACATCAGCAGCCGGCCCGTGTTGTTCAGGCGACCGCGGGTCTGCCGACGCAGCGGTGACCGGCTCACGCCCAGCTCACGGCCGGCTACTCCAGCCCGGCCACGCGGCCGGCTACCTCCGCTCAGCCACCCGGCCTGACTACCCCTGCCCGGCCACTCGGCTGACGCTGGCTGCAGGAACCCCGCGGCGCGTGCAAGCCCACGCGTGACGGCGATAACGACAAACAATAACGTCTGGAGCAAAAGGCAATAACGTCTTCGGGCCATCGTTGCAAGAGCGGGGAATGTATGAGAAAAACGTGGTCTTTTTAAGAAAAAATATATCAACATACTCAACTGCCCCTAGTTGCAGATTTCTGCTTATAACATCACGCGCCTGGCCGTCTGATGGAACAAAGATGCAATGCCTCCTCATTATGGCCGGACGCTTTGATGATGTGATAAATTACGTGACGGAAGCCGGCTCTATTATGAATAAGATATTCTAAGCTTGTAAGCCCCAGTGTTAGCCTGACCTGTCAGCGGCTGGTTGTAAATGATGCTAATATTACTCGACGATAGATAGCGAGATTTCCTTCCGCGCGTCCCTTCGCACTCGCGGTTCAACGCAATACGTGTCGTCTGAACGGTGTTTTAAATGATCTTTCTCATCCCTCCATCATCTGTGAAACATTTCGTGTTCGTGTGACAGCTTTTAATAACATATTGTTGTGCCCCACATTTCACGTCCGATGCTTTGTAATCCAGTTTGGCTTGCCATCCGCCAACTTGAAGAGAAGAGGGCGAGATGCTCGTCCACTACCCATTCGCCTCTGAAGCCCCTCCAAAAATGCTCTTGCAGGAGTCGATCTCGCTGAGGCGCACTTAAGGATGCCCCATAAATGTTTCAGTGTGATCCAGCCCAGGGAAGCTGTGCGGCCATATCTTGTTGTCCCAGTACCACGGAAGGGTCGATCATTACCACTCCTGTGTCCTCTGTACCCGTGTGAGCGCTCGCCGTCGTAACACGGGAGGGTCGCTCGGCACCACTCCTGTGCCCCCTGTAGCTGTGTGAGCGCGCGCCGTCTTACCACGGGAGGGTGGCTCAGCACCACTCCTGGGCGCTCTTAGCCGTGTGAGCGCGCGCCGTCTTACTACGGGAGGGTCGCTCAGCACCACTCCTGGGCGCTCTTAGCCGTGTGAGCGCGCGCCGTCTTACCACGGGAGGGTCGCTCAGCACCACTCCTGGGCGCTCTGAGCCGTGTGAGCGGGCGCGCCGTATTGCATGAACATGGCGGCCGACGCGGCGTACATGACCTTCCAGCGATTTGTGGGGTCAGCGTTCGCCCTGCGCCTTAATGGCTTCAGCAAGAGACAACAAAACTCTCCTCGACGTGCATTTGTTAACAGTCTACCCTGGGGCACCGCATGTAGTTATATAAGTGTCATGGCGCTCATTCTCCCAAATCATCATCTTTTGAGATCTATTCGCGAGGCGTATGCCAATTAAAAGTTGTTGCTTCCCCTCTCTCTCCTCCATGAGCAGTGTGTGTGTCTTGGTTCTCTTGACGTGCGACAAAATCACGGAACATCCACAGAAGTAAAAAAAAAACTGCAAAACAGTGGGGTTTCGGACAGATCTGGCCATCGGTCCCATGGCGAGATTTGAGGGTGTCTCAAGCCATGCGAGGCCGCCGCCTCCGGCCCGGGTCTGGGTTGACCCACCGGCACTTTGTCGAGGTGCAGCGGGCGCAGCAGAGGGTCGAACAGCAGCTTGTACGGATCGATATTGATGGGTGACTGCTGGCGGCCGCGGTCGCAGAAGTGCCAGTCCGGGTTGAACACACCCCAGTAGGCGGGACCTGTCGGCGACCGTGTCAGCGGCGGCAGTCTGACACGTCTCCCGGGACCGGGACCTGTCGGCGACCGTGTCAGCGGCGGCAGACTAACACGTCTCCCGGGACCGGGACCGGTCGGCGACCGCGTGAGCGGCGCCAGCCTGACACGCCTCCCGATCGGGGACCGGTCAGCGCTGCTGGACGTAACAGGCGTGCCTCCAGCCAGAACACCACACCTCCATTTGGGTACGTGGCGTGTGACAACTAGTGAAGGAAACACGACAGGAGTACAAAAGGGAGAAGAAAAGAGCTGTGCTGCGAAGAGGATCGTTCGCGATTTATGTCAATATCCCTACCTCATATTTTGAGTAAGTCGGATATCGTAATCAAGCTCGAGGCAACAGCGACTTCGGAACCATTCACAGAGTTCTGGCGTTTAATATCTGAAGTTGACCAATGCCATACATAGCCGGATGCTAATAACTAAGCGACGATATTAATTGGTACTTGATTCTTTGTATTTTCATCCCGGCATGTCACATAATTGTACTTTACTTTCGCCAATCTAGTACAGGTGTTGAATTATACAGTTGGATGTTGCAATCAAATATCTAAAATTCATACTGCTCCTCTCTCTCTCTCTCTCTCTCTCTCCTCTCTCTCTCTCTCTCTCTCCTCCTCTCCTCTCAGAGGAGCGCGTTCTCAGAGAGAGAAAAGCTATCCTTCGAGGCTCTCTCTCTTCTCCTCTCTCCTTTTCTTTCGTCTTCTCTCTCATATCTCTCCCTCTCTCTCTCTTTCTCCTCTCTCTCTCTCTCTCTCTCTCTCTCTCTCTCTCTCTCTCTCTCCTCCCCTTACCATCCCACCCGCTCCTCTCCCTCCTCTTCCCGATCGACAACTGACCAGTCGCGCAAGGTGCACGCAGAAATTAATCACGGAAGTGGTTCTGGAGAGATAAATCAGATTTCCCCAGCCTTGGTCAACGTTAGGGAGCATTCGCCGCGGCGAATGTGCAATATTCAGCCAAAAAGGTAAGACCGAGAACCTTTCCTATCGCCTCATGCATATGGTGAATCCCAAGCCCCGCGGAGGAGGATGCGTTTGCGCTGTATTACATTCATAAATTTCTGACTAAGGCCCATTTGTAAGCAGGCGCAGTTGAAATGGCGTCGTCGCGCCACTGGTCATGGCGGTATATGGTCACTCTGAAACTTTTATCAGCGTTCACCACCACTGGAACCATGGGGCGCTGGTGTGCTGGACCTGAAACTGTCGGCATAGCTTGGTATTCCGCGCGATCCCGGATCTGACGAGCGCCCCGTATGCTTCGGATGCGACTGAACTCGTAAAGCAAAGTCGGGGTGCCACGGGGCTGGCGGCGACAATGATTGAACAGTGTAGACATGATTAATGCAATTTGCTGTTGGATTTGTTAGCTAAGGTAATCTAGCGTTTTATCAATGGTGTCTATGCAAAGTTTGTTTCACCGGTTACGACTCTTCAAACAGCACTGGCAGGTCCTCACAAGCTCAAGGTGTGAGCTCAAATAATATATACCTTTTCCAAATAGTACGTGGATGGCAAAGCTATGTTAGGAGTGTAGAAAAGGGATGATCATCATATGGTGGGCCGTTTGAATATTAACTAGCTAGATGGCACTTGTGGTCATGCAGGCATCCGATATGCGATCCTAACGTACTTTATATATTTATATGTATGCATTGGGGTATAAATACGTAAACGTTAACTGCACATAGAAAGATCGGCCGGCTGAACAATATCCATTTAACGCGCAATGAATGGTCTAAGTTTGGTGATAGTCATGCATACAAATTAAATATCACGTTATTGGCTGTGAAGCATTTATGTCTTCGGTTGTGTTAAGAAGCAAACATTGTCGGGAATAAGGTATCTACGCTCTGAAAGACACAGACCTGATATTCCTTCGTAGGTCCACCAATCATCCCAATTCGCTGTTACATCTGAAACAATGTAAACAAGCATGAGCTTCCCCTATCCGGTTTTCCCGGGCACATTACACTAAACAGCGCACTAAACGGCAGGGCAGTACCACAGGATCAGAGTCAGTGGCGCCGCGTGAACCCATCTAGTGTTCAGTGAGAGTCGGCGATCTCAGCCGGGGACGAGTCTGGGCGGGGGGGGGGGGGGGAGTCGGTATCGACGGCACTTGGCGCGTTCGGCGAGCGAAACTCCGCTCTCGCAGATGAGCGTCCATTCACGTCCGTAATGAACGCCCGACGGCCGACAAGAAACGTCAAGGGGAAGGCGATCATCCAACAAAGAAAGTCAATCACTTCCGTGCGCGGGCGGCTCTGTCGACTACGAATAACAACACCGAAAGCTTGTATGCGTTGGCGAAACCCGGACAACTAGATGGGAAATGGGGTTTTTGGTATTCGGGTCGTTAAGTAAACATGCGTCATTTGCGTAATGAAATAAACAATTCCTCTTGTAGAATTGAATACTCATCGCGTGGATTCTGAACAGCATGCATATTTAGAAAGTAGAAACAGCTTTCGAAATCGCGCTGGGTCTCCCTTTGACGGATTTGGCGTTGACAGGTTTTGCCGCCACGTTTACAAGTTTTGACGGATTTGACACCAAGATTCGACGCCATGGAGGGCATGGCAATGTCATGAACGCACACTGGTACTCAGGACAAAGACAGGACAAGACAGTTGGTTTGGGAGACCAAGCCGTTAGCACAACGGGACCTAAGTTCTGGCAGCATAACGGGTTTGTCGGTCACGCCAGAATGGGATGCAGAAGCACCGAGGGGCTCAATGCAACAAAATTCGGCTCCTCCATTTTCCTCCACGGCATGCGACAGCACCATAACCATCACCACTATCTTCTGCATGCATAAGGTAACACCTGTAATTTTACAGGCATCAGACGACACTTGTAATTTTGCAGGGTCACCAAGGCAAAATGACTTTGTTGTTACATTTAAGCAGTCCATTTAGAGGCAAATGCAGTCGCCTAAGTCCAACGAGGTTTTCAGTTGCGCTGATTGCGTAAGTCAATTTCACGCCGTTCAACTCGGAGATTGTCGTGCACACATTGTATTGTACAAAACAACATTTGAAGCAGGTAGCTGGTAATAAGGCGGGCTCCGCCTAGAAAAAGGTGGCAATACGATGAAACATTCTGCACGAAATACTGCACAGAACAATCGACTAAGCTGGAGCTCTCCCAAAACGGACTGTAGCAGGCACGCGAGAAGTGCCCCCCCCCCCCCCCCCCCCCTGCCACCTCCGCCAGGTCAGCGGCCGCGGAACACGGCCACGCTCGGCGAGCGGTCCGCGGACTGGCGGCCGGCGCCCGCGGGACAGCGTGGGCGCCTCGTCCGCCCCCGAGCCGGCACGCCATGGGAATCTGAGTTCCAGGCCGCGACGATCGTGACACCGTCCCGCATAAATTAGGTCCAATCAGCCCCCGAGCGTAATGCACGCGTCTCATGCTCTGTGGTGTCTAAGGACATTCGTCAACCAGGGCGGGCATGGCACGAATGAATTGTACGGCTGGGTTTCGGATTGGCATGGGATCGCCGGATATTGATTGGAGAACAAACCTTTGTACCTTCCAAATACAATATCTGTTTGTTGTATGCCTACCGACAAATATCACGAAAACCTACTCTGCTGCTTTTCGTATTTGCTTACAACGATGGAAACATGAACACGGTTGGGGGAATGCATCTTATGACTACCCTATTTTCTCACGATGTTATCATACACCAATTTAAAGGCTTGGTATCTCCTCAAAATATCGCAAGTGCTCAGTCGCGCCTCAGTTCATAAGATAAACAAAATGGTTGGAAAGTGCTGAACCCATGACCAACTCGAAAGTGCGTGTTGATATAATTCGAATAATCATTGAAATAATTCGAGCGCACAATCGTAAGTTCGAGCACATCAGTCTTTAATGCACATGCTAAATCATACACTTATTCGCTCTGGAGAATGGCACAAATCGAAGACGAAGCTCACCTTCATGACAGAGCAGCACACAAGCAAGAAGCTCACGCCAAAACATGTTGAATCCCGTCCCGGCTTCGCGACGAGGTTCACCAGCTGTTCTAACCCACAGCTCCTGGACACACAGTAACCAGCTGTCCAGCGTCACACCGTGCAGGCGATGACCCCCGAGGTCACGTGCACGCCGTGGCGGAGGGGCGCGGTGGCGGCCGCCCCAGCCACGGCCGCCGCAGTGTCTGCCGCGCGGCGTCGGCGTCGGGCCCGGTTAAGGCATCGGGGCGGGCGCACGCGCGGCGGGCTTCCCTCGCCGCAGCTGGCGGGCCCAGAGGGCCGCTCGGGCAGCGAGTTCGAATTCATGAAGCATGAGCTGCACGATTTAAATAGGGAATATTTTGAGAACAACACAGTGAAGTCTAGCTTCGGTGCACGGCTGCTCCTTTGCAGCAAATGTGTGAGATCTGAAGAAAGTTAGAACGAATTCAGGTATCAGCGAAGTTAAGTCATGGATTTTTAGTAGCGTGCATATGCAAAGGACTATTGCAGGTGGCCGATACTCCGCGTTTTTTTCTTGCGGTCTGCTTCTAAACTGATCGTCGTAATGCAGCGTAGTTTTTTTACTTGCGCAATTCATACGCATATGCTGTGTGATGATATTAAAACGAAACAAAAACAAAAAATCAGTCGCACAAAGGGCTTTTGATAGGCAATCTGCTTCTCGAGACGGATAACTACTTCAAGGTTATGCTGCACACTTTCGTTGCATTTCAGGATAAAACAAAGATCACGCATTCATCCACATAGTTATATGCATGTTTGAGAACATGGAAGCACTGCTGGTACCTTGCTTGCTGCAAGATATCTTTAAACTATATTTACTTTCTTCTTTCACATGATTTCAGCGTATGCTGAAATAGCTGTCTGTACTGCGCGTATTGCGTCAGACTTTAAAGCAAAACGTGTCTCCATAGACCGGAAATTCTTGATATGAGCAGGTCTATGACCAACCATCATGTGTCTAACACCGTCATGTCGGGGATTAGCACGAAGTTTGAAAGCAATTTGGAAATTTTGAAGCGGTCTTGTCTTCCACATCTTAATAAGATATTTCACCAACACTGGTTGAAAACATTCAAACAAATGCCTGAACGGAATCGGCGCGGTAAAGCGCTCAAATTCACGCCTTGATTTGGTCCAAAAAAAAATGATTCATTTGCATGTCAGCTCATGACCTAGTTTGAAGTCAGTAGATATAACCGGGCGCACCGATTCAGACGAGAGCTCAACATGTTCTTAACAACCTTTGATCCTGTTTTTGATCCACTTTTGATCCTGACCCGCAGCTACGCTTCTACGTATTTCGAGCTATCTTTGAAAATGACACGCAACTTTGTTTGAGTAGTGAGCTGCAGCACGGAAATTTTCAAGTGAGGAAAGGGGGGAGGGGGTGTCAATCCACTGAAGTCCAACTTAATCCAATCTGATCAAGTCCAATCCGACTGAAAATCAGTTCGGCGATTGTGGTTCAACGGTAAGCGCCACGGAGGCCAGCAGTAACACCGCAAGCGAAGGTGCGCCTTTCCTACCGTAGAGCCGTTTGCTTGTCACATAGTCGTAAATAGCCATGCTCAGAAAAGTCCATAAACTATTAACGCGGTTTATGATGGATTTGTACTTCCCGCCCCTCTCCCTGTGTTGGTTTGTAACACTGTTATATTAAACGTCACCGAAAATTACGCAATGCCAAGCCGTAGGCATACCCGTTTAACCTTTTCCAGTTTAGGTATGTTTCATATTGATAACAATGAAGTACGATCATTATGCGTGTGCTATGAATTGTGCATGTACTGTATGGAGCACTAAAACATGCTGTTTTGGGATACACTACATCGGCGGCGGAACTCTGTCCCCAGTTTGACCCCTCTCGCACAGTACCACGCACCACGGCCACCCGGCGACCGCAGCACGGGGTCTCCTGTAGCCGACGTCTCGGTTTCGGTACCTGACACGTGCAGTGTCACCACCAAGTTCCAGAGCCATGGCCATCAGGTGCGCGTAGCGCAGCGTCTCCTGTAGCCGACGTCTCGGGCTCCGTTACATGATATGTGCAGTTTCGCCACCAAGCTCCGCAGCCACTACGTAGTGCACCATTACCCGCGCCTGACGTGCGCTGTCGTGCGTCGACTCCTTCTTTTTTGTCTTACTTATTGCCATTTGCTAACGCTCACAATAACTACGCGACGCTGGTCCAGCTTTCTTCACCATGTAGCGCCTTGTCACGCCCCGACCGGCGCCTTTTCACCACGCACCCCTCGGCGTCGGTCGTCGGACCCACCACCATCGCAGTTGCCAGCCGAACAGTGGCAGAGCAACGGCCCCCGGATTTGAGTCAAATTAACTGGTCTTGAGTCAATGGAAGATCCATGGGACAATGAGAAGCCCTTTGGTCATAAGGCCCAGCACCGGACAGCGTCAATACCAGTCAGGGTCCATATGTCAAACGAGGGGAAAGTGAAGGCCCCATAATGCCAATCAGATAACCTTCTCCGATGTCCCCCAGGGACCCTTGAGGAAGCGAAGGAGTCGCATTATCGACCACGGGTCCGGTGATGAACAGGAAAACCCCGTTACTGAACAGGGGCTCTATTAACTTAACAGGGACAGAGCCATGGCCCATGACTGCCTGCATTTGCTTCATTTGGGGCCCCTGAGGCAAAGGGGAGTCTCGCTTACGCCAGCGGCCCTAGAGGTGCTTAGAATGGTCTACTGTACCGTACCAGGCTTGGGACTTGTGGAAGCAGATGCAGCTCCTGTGGCGGTCATCAACCGAACAAAGAAATGGCGAGGTTCAAGATTGTCCATCATAGATCACCCCGCGTAGCTCAACCGATCTTCAGACAATGCGATGGCAACTCATATTGTCAGGGGCCTTAGCACTTACAAAAGGACCCATTAGGTACTGGTCAGGGACCGTGTAAGCCAATGGGTTTATTGACTGAGTTGGGACAGATTCAGGCACCCAGGAAAGCTAGTCAGAAGATCGCAGCGCCACTTGGGGCCTCTCGAGGTGATGCAGATACGTCACCTGTCAAAGGCCTCTGGTACTGGTAGTGAACAGAGAACCCTGGTATTGAAAAGGGGGTCCCATGCCCTGCCGAGGCAGTGAGAAAGCTCTGTCGGTGAGGAAACCCAAAGTTCGAACTTCGGGACACTGGTCCGGCTAAAGCGATGAGATCCCATTGAAGACATTCGCGTTAGGAGTCCTCACGTTAGAAGTTTTGTAGCGTAGAAATCCAAGCGTTAAAGGTTCTCGTACTTGAGATGATGTCCTTTAAAAGTCTTCGCGCTAAAAGCGCTGTCGTGTAGAAGTTAATGCGATAGGAATTTTTGTATTTTTGTATTATTGGTAATGTCACATAGTTGTTTGTGCATTAGAAGTTTGTTACGTGGAAATAATATTCCGCAGTAGCTTTTGCGTTAAAAGTTACGTCTCATAGAAGTTCAAACGTTAAAAGCTTCTCTCGCATTAGAAGTGGTTTCGCGTAAATGTACCGCTAGAACTTTTGTCAAGTGTAAGTAGTGACGTGTCGAAGTTTAGACGTAGAAATCATTGTCACGCAGAAGTTTACGCATGAGGTTCTTGCATTAGGAGTAATATTGCATAGAAATGCTGTGATGGAAGCTTCGTAATGTAGAAGTGAAATTACGGAGTGTTGCGTTAGAAGTCATGTGTGGAAGTTTAGTCCGTTAGCAGTAGCTGGGGTAGATGTTCAGTCGTGGAACCGATTTCTGGACATTGCTGATCACGATCATAAACAAGTTGTCTAACGTTTATTGGATTGGCCAATCATTACATATCTATAGTGTCTGCGCAGGTATGCAAGCATTGACCGGAAAATGGCATGGCCCGTAATAACTGGCCCCTTGACCTGAGCAAAGGAATGATATGAAATACAAATTAAGAGCCTCAGAAAACCTTGCTTACCTAGTTTCATGCGAATTTCAGAGGCAAGGGTGCCCTGGCTGCTTGCCTTGACGGCTTGTCCTGGAATCCCCACGTATGAGAGAACCGTGCATTCCAAGCCGAGCTGTGTTTCTTTCATGCTAATTGGCTCCTGAAGATAATTATAATGTCCTTTGAAAATATTATAAGTTTTGGCGCTCCTCTGACTTTTTATTTTCAATTTATTATTGTGAAGGAGTAGCCAATGAAGATATCATTGAGAAATGATTAGTGGCACTTGTCCATCAAAATCAAACAAGTTATTCTCAAGACAGGTTATCGTAGATCTACCAGCCCGCATGGAATATGGTAAAAGAACACAAAACTTAAGATTTTTCTTCAAAAGGAATTGAAATGTGATCGACATGGTGAACACGCGGATTAGTTTTGTAATCGCAAAAGCCCAAAAGCGTTTGCCACATTACATGAGCTGCTTCAGCAGTAATTCATCATTAAGTTTGCGAATCATCAAAGCAGAACCTAGGTCAGTTTTCAATAATTCTGTATGAAAAAGTCTGACAAAAAGATCACTGCCAACACATTTTGTCACCGTATTCTATCTTCTATAAACGTATCACATAACCGTTCTTCAAGGAAGCACGTTCAACCTCAGTTAAACAGTTGTTTTAACACGTGACCGCCTGGACTTTGTACAAGCCATCTCTCTGAGTTTTGGAAATCCCCTCCGAGCCGGACAGCCCGGAGAGCTATTATTTCAACACGTTGTGCAGCAGCAATGTGTTTCTTGCAACGTTACGTCGATGAGTTGTGTCGTTTTCATTTATGGTCTGCACTGCACCACATCGAACTTTGGTCGAAAGGTCTGACTGCCAGGCAGGCTCATTCACACCATTCATAAACTCTTGAGCTAATCCAACCTGATTTTCAAACTTCACCTTGGTTGATCTTATGGCATGATTATGAAGTGCACATATACAAAGTTTCGTTCGGTGTGAAGTGCGAACTTGACGGTAATAGTGTGGGTGCTATCTGTCACTCGTCAATGACGTAACAGATGTCATCTACATGACTACATTGGTTGCCCCTTGCATTTTTACAATCCCATGATTAGAAACGGAAGTACCAGGGATGTTAATAAGATTGATTTTGCTTTTATCTTTAATGCCCCCACCCCTTCCCGGCCATCGCGAATTGCGGAGTACGCAATGCGGTGCCGGGTAAATTGGCAGGCTCGTCATGTCGGACTAAGCGG